TGAGCGACATTCCATTCGTACACTTAGGGGGGTAAACGTGTGAATTTTCTAGGAAAAATTCACACCTTTACCCCCCCAAGTGTACGAATGGAATGTCGCTCACCTGCAGGTGAGCGACATTCACACACTTGCATTTCCAGTGCAAGCACAACGTAGACGGAAAAGGAGATTAGTTGTCAGAACTAACACATTGGCTGATTTTGGAATAGTAAAGAAATGCGCTGTGACACCTTAGAATTAGTAGTCAGAGACAAGGGTAAATTCCTACAGCGAACCTGAAAATATTACGAGATTGCAGCTGTGGCAACTGTTGTCTCTTACTACTTATCCCAAGAACTTTGCAACATTGTTTTTTCATGTACCGTCTTGGAATTCATCGAAGAGCAAACACACTTTTTTTTTACATTCTCACAATATTAATTACAAAGTACATCGTAAATTTACGACGGTATTTTTTGCATTGGTTAAATCGTAGAAAGCTACCTTGCATGCTTTGAGACTTGGTCGTAGTACTCAAAAGTCCATTTTAAATGCTACCAAAATAGCTTCTGTGTGCAGACCCACATTTTTAACTTGTGATCACACTTACCCCTTAAAGAGCGACTCAAATTGATTTAAATTTATTGTTGTGATCGGGGCAATACATTTTTATTTCAGCTCTCCCAGCGCATCCTTCTCTTCTTTGTTTCCACAGAGGCCGAGCGGCAGCGCCCCGCTCTCCGGAGACTGACCCCCCGCTCTCCCGAGACTGACCCCCTGGTGTGGCGCTGCCCCGCGCACCGCTCCCCGCCACGCCCTCCAGTCGCCCCCGCCTTCCGCACCAGATCCATCAAGGTGGACGCTGGTCCATGTCCCGCCAGGACTCCCAGCCCGGCACGCCCGCCGGCCCGGCCCCACCGCCCGCCCGGTCCCGCCGTCCAGCCCCACCCGGGCACGGAGCGCCGTGGACCCCCGCCGTGCATCGACCGGCTGCTTGGAGGCTGTCAGCTGGGGGCTGCCTGCTGGGGGCTGCCGACTCAGTGGATGAGATCTGCTCGTCTGAAGGGGAAGGTAAGCCAACGACCGCGGTTTATACACCGGCTGAGACCAACGCATACATAGGTGTCGTCGGAACCTGTGGTGCATCATCTGTTCTTCTTGTCCGCCATCGTCGTTCGCACACAATTCCAGAGCACTATGACCGCAAAGACTTTGAATGAAATGAAATATTTGAAAGAGTCAAGTCGATAAACAGCCGCTTTACCCTGGTTTGGGTGAAGCTCTTGGATTGCGTGATTTCACTCGAACCACTTATTGAAATGCGATGTAAAGGGCTTCCAAATATTATCACAATGTCGGATGATCGTTCGTTTGCTCTGACCAATATTTCCCCACAACATTCCTGAGCTATATTGCTCATAGTTTGGGTGTCCTCGGCATCATCGTCCCTGATAGATATTTTGTCGGTGCATTTATTATAGTCGGCCTGTTGGGGTAAGGTAAGGTGCATTCTTGAGGGATGCGCCGTAGCCTGCCCGTAGCCTACTGCAGCCCTTTACATTATGAGGGTCATGTATTAGTCACAACTACTTTTTGTTTTAGTGCAGACGACGTGATGTGAGTTATGATGCAAGGATAAGGCCGTTCGTAACCCAGTTGATATGCTTTGATTTTTCTCCCTTGCTATATATGAATAATTATCTTAATTGCCACGCTCTTTCAAAAGAGGGTGAAACTCGCTTTTCTCCGTGCAATTAAATATTAAATTGTGGTTTATTCGGCAAATCACACCTGCTTGCGCCCATCCCACAGGTAAATACAAAAAACAAAAGGGGCACACTTATTCAAATTTCTGAAAAACAAAAGTGTTCTTTAATTATTCTATTTTGTTTAAACGGAATAGCTGATCGTTGGGCAGAAGTTTCATAAGTTGTCATATGCTGGTCTAGTTGCGATACATGTTCTAATCGTACTGTCACGCTCTTAGCAATGTCACTAAACGTGGCATACCATCTCACGTCAGCAACACGATTGGGACTAGAATGATAGTTCTATTTTTGTTTTGCTCTGGCTTGTCGCTTTCTCTGTTACTTTTATTTTGTTTTAATTATAAAGGCGTTAATTTGATTGTTAGCCTTTTGAAGGGGTAGCGCAAGAAGAGAATGTGGTGCGGTAAAAGACCCGAAGCGTTGCTCAGCTCGAGTTGATAATGAACAAGCACAGACACCAATAACACACTCGTCTTTGAGTTGGACCCGAGCAAATCGGTTACCTTGTTTATGAGTGTGTTTCGCCGGAGGCGACGCGAGTCCTCTGGAGGTACCCATATCCAATATTGGGCGATAGCGAGAGACGGTCTTCTTGGGCCCCAGCCGCTC